GAGAAGACTAAGAGGAGATCTGATAGCCATCTTCAAATCTCTCAATGGCTATCAAATGGAAGATGGAACAAGCTTCTCCTGAGCGTATGAATCGAACCGATGGCTTCAAGTTACAAGAATGGAGATTCTGACTGAACATCAGGAAAAACTTTCTTATGGTATGAGCTGTTTGACAGTGGAGCAGCCTCCCCTAGAAGGTTATGCACTCTCCTTTAAAGCAGAGGTTGGATAGCCATCTGTCATGGATGCTTTAGCTGAGATTCCTGCATTGCAAGGAGTTGGACTAAATGACCCTTGGTGTCCCTTCCAACTCTACAAGTCTGTTATTGAGAGATGGAGATGCGGACTGGGGTGTAGAGACTGAAAACACAATGGCTTCAACTGACCTGGGAAGAGCTTGTTGTAGGGTTTGGGTTGCCTATCTTACTCATAAGGTTGGGCAACTTTTGAGCAGGGCAAGGAGCTTCAGTGTGGTTGATGATGCAAGAGGGTAGCCAGGATGTCAGGACTTGCCTCCAAGTCTAGCCATTCAACAGAATGAGATGTTTCATTAGCAACAGTCAGACATCAAGTGAAGGGTTTTATAGTTGGTCTCTTCCCCACTGCTTCCTGGAACATCATGAGGACCTGATTCTAGACTGCACCTCAGTTCATGGTTTGTTTTTCTCAGAAGTGTTCAGAGACAGCAGTCCTTATACTCTTAGATTTCTAATACACCTTCTGAACAGAGGCAAACTCCATCACCATCTCTGCTTGTGGGTTCCCCAGCCTTATCATGGAGGGTCCAGAGCTAAGATGTGTGAACAATCCCATTGAATCATCTCTCCAGTTCTGTGGACTGACTTGGTGTTTTCTAGGTTGGTAGTCTCAATATGCTTCACACGAATCATGGTCTCCCTTGGTCCCTGCCAATTCTGGGGCTCCTGAGAAGGAGGTCTCATCTAGATCTGGTCCTGAAGGGAATATTTTATTGATATGTTTTAGCAGAATCATTGTGGCTAATGTAAAATTTGCTGTGACCATTTCATGGATGAAAGTTGGACCTTACATTTTACAGCAGTGACCACCTCAAAAAATCATCCGCATGATCGGGATGTCATACACATGCTGCAAAATATTTAAATACTGTGTCATATTTTCCTTTTTCATTGTACGGTATGTCTCCATGTTTATTGATCTGTGAAGGGTAAACAAGCAGTTCAGGTGACAATTTCCCCACCTATTAAATTATTTTTCTTTCTTGCACAGTCAGCAGATGGTCTGGTCCCCATGAAACTGGGCTGAATGGAAGGGTTCAATATGTTGTCTATTTCAAAGCTGCTACCCTTTCAGGAAGCCTTCCATATTGGTACAATGCGCCTGATTTAAGCATCCACAGCATCATTGCTTTCATAAAAGATCTGCTTGATATCGCTTAAATTATTCTGCAGTTTTTTGCCAACATGTGTAGTAACAGCTGCTCCCGTGAGTAAGTTAAGTACTGAATACTCTTATGTCTTATAAAAGTATCCTGTAAATCTTACTAAACTAGCAATAAGGATTGCACAATTGCTGTGTAGATCTTATTAATATCAGAATAACCATTAGAGGGTTAATCTATATATCTCACTAATATAGCAGTAACCATTAAGGTATTTTAATAATAATAAAAGTGAACGTCACCTTAATATATAGCACTAATGGCTTTTGTATATACAGCGAATCTACTTTATTATTGTAATAAAAGAGGAAATACTACTCAATAAAAATAGCAGGAAAGAGAAAGAGATAGCTTATACAGCATGAAAGTAGTAAAAAAAAAGAAACCCTGGGAAGAAATGAAATACCCGCACATACACACACACACAAATTTTGCTGTAATATAAGTCTAAAGTACTGCAGGCATAAAGAGAATAAATTGCAGAACAGTGTCATGGAAGTTCATTATATGAGCACAGATTATTTCACATGCATTCTGTCCACCCTATCCATCTTTATTAAAATATTGTTTAATAATGGGATTCCTGATCAGCACCAAGAAGCAACTATAAAACCATATGACATTTTTCTTTTAATGTTCTATTTTCTGCCCAACCTGCTGTTTTTGTAACGGGACTTAAAAGAGGCATAGTTACATTGGCACTTGCCAAATTATTATTGTTATGGCCTTGAGTTTATAACCTGCAGTCTGGCAGGACTTAAAATATTAATGCCTTGTATTGATACTCTGCAAATCACCTCTATTCGACCCAGTAAGTGCTTGCATGGGAAATCTCCTGGCAGCTTGTAATGTTTGAGGTATTACAGATAGGGGAGAGGGAAAAAAAAACTATTTTATGTATTAGAAGGACATCTAAATCATGCTGCTTTGTTTTCCTATATGATGGAAAACAAATACCTATATATTTCCTATATTACCAGGGCAGATTTAGGGGCATTTTAAGCCAATATTAAGGTCATGCAGCTCTCTAGTGCATTTCTGCTAGTGCTAAACTGAAAGTTCTCAGGTGAAAACTTTTCTTTCAGAACTGCACATTGGGGGTGGCAGAGCAAAGTGAAGTGAAATTGCTCTCCCTCCCCCTTTTTGCTGCTGCTGCTCCCAGTCTTGGAGAGTCTTTCCTGGTGGGAAGTCACCTCCGTATTCAAGGGAAGGAGAAGAGCAGCCGACAAGAAGAGCTCTCTTTTCATCTGCTCCTAACAGGAAGCTAGCAATGTTGTCGTCCTGAAAAATCACCAAAATGCTATTGCCCATTGATCTATCCACAATCAGGGGTGGGGTGGCCTTGTCCCTGTTTACAAAAGCATTTTTAAATGGTCAGAATCCACTGTGTGGCATGATGGGCAGAATTCAACATTGCACGGGGAGGAAGATTCTGTCTGCGCAAGCATTTCAGCCTGCCATATGAAATGAGCAGTGTATTTACACCCCTCTGACCTTGCTGCCTGTGCACCCTTCTCCATCTCTGTCCCAGTATGCTTTAGCAATGCTGCCAGGGGCAGGGCAGGTGAACAACACTGCCTTCATATGAGGAGCAGAGGCACCATCTTCTAAAAAACATTGAGGGAGCCCGATGTGATATCCTTGCAGAACATCCTGACATCACTCTGTGTTCGCCCTGAACAATGGGGAGCCACCCCCCGAAAACCCAACAACAAGAGGCCCTAGGAGCCATTGCCTATGGTGAGGAGGCAGTATATTTCCAATTACAAAATGCTGAGGACAAACAACAGATGAACAACTTCATAGCCTGCTTCTTTGCTTTCAGAAGCGTCTAGCTGGCTGCTGTTGAATTCAGGACTGATGGGTGTCAATCTGATCCACCACAGCAAGGTCTTGAGCAAAGTTGTGGAGCTTTTTCTTTTTAGCAAGACTTCAGCTTTCTTTAAGAATAAACACAAAATGTTGATCTGGGAGGAAGAAATGTAAACCTCCCCCCCCCCCCTAAATAGTGATTTTAAGCTTTGGAAGTTGTTTCTGCTGCTTTTTCCATGGCAATGCCCAACATACGGGTTTTTCCGGACATTTTGCCAATTTGGCAAAATTCCACCCTGACACCATTTTTACACCTGAAAACCAGGAGATGTTAAAAATTTTCCTGACATATGGCAAGCCTACCCCACCATGATGTCTGCTGTTAAGTATGTATATATTGAGCTGGGATATAAACATTGTGTTGGAAAGAAAAATCAAGAATCAGATGACAATGATGCCCTAAATATCACTTTGTAGAATGATGAGCTGATGGAAGATGGAATGCTAGCAATGTTAGTAGCCATGCAAATCAAGCTATATATGTGTTACAGATAGACTTCTGGAACCACAGCTGCGAAGAGGTTAGTCCTCAACGGCCATTTTTTGCTGTGGCAACCACAGTACCAAGCAATCAGGTGCATTGGATCTAAGGGTCAGTGCAACTGGAGTCTTCCATCGCTTGTCTGGTAGAAATTTATCAAACATCCAAGAAGAAGAAATGTAGTTATTGAGCTTGGGGCGAGAAACAGGCAAAATATAATCTACCAGAGTTTTTGTTTAAAAAACACAGCAACATCATGATGCTTTAGATATCCATGATTTTCCATACCCCCACACAAGAAACACATCAATGATGATGATCATGCTAAGCCACCATAGGGTTGAGTTGCATCAATGGATTGATGGGGGGAGTCATGAGCCGTGACATTTTTGCTCAGCTAAGTAATTAGACATGTGCACTGCTTAATTGGATCTGCATGGTAGGACTGTGTAGGGGAACAATGAGCCTGAAACAATATGCATTAGCCCAGCTTGTGTTTTTGAAAAGGAAACAACTCTCAAGAGCTCAGAACGTTGTGCAATAGGTCAACCCCTTTCTCTTTGGAATGAGCCCTAGACTTTATCAGTCGAGACTATTCCATTCCATTTGAAATCTCCCTTCTTTGTCCTGTTCCTGAAACCAAATTTCCAAGGTCATTCATCCAGTTTATTTTAGATAACAACTCTGGTCTTCAGTAGCTCAAGCTTTAAAATTGTAGCCCTTGCATTTACATTCATAGGACTTGATCCCGTTGAATGTGACACATACACAGAAGAGCCATCAAAAGCTCAACAGAGCCATGGGGGCACCACAAGAGGGCATGACACCATTTCAGTGGTGTCAAAGATACTTCCTTTATCCCATTCATTGCTGTGTACACTGCGTCCCTATGTTCACCCGTATACTGTGATTCATGGAGAAATGGGGGGTTCACAGAGAGATGGTAACTCTTCCCCCAGGTAGGCTGCATTTGGCTTGGGAACTCATAGGAATATAATAAGAGCCTGCTGGATCAGGCCCATAGCCCAAGTCCAGCATCATGTTCTCACAGAGGCCAAACAAACAAACAAATACCTGTGGGAAACCCCACAAGCAGGACTTGGGCACAAGAGCATTCTCCCGTCTCTTTGTGGTTTCCTGCAAATGGTATTGTGAAGCATATACCTTTTAAGTTGGAAGGGAAGCTGGGTATCTAGTTCAACCCCCTGCAATACAGGAATAGGTAGCTGTCCCATTACGGGGATTGAACCTGCAACCTTGGCATTATCAGTACCATGTTCTAACCAACTGAGCTATCCAACTGAGCTATGGAGGCACAGCATCATGGCTAGTCAAGTTGCCCAAGACAGACAACTCCCAATTTACATGATGGTTACATTTCAAGCACACACACACACACACACACCTCTCACACATATAATATATTTTAAATTTATATACATTGGAACAATTATTCAACCATAATTTTAACATTTCCGACTTCGACTCCCTTTCCCCCTCTTTCTGTGGTTCTTTACATTAATTTTTGCCCTTTCCTGCATATTCCAAATTATCTTCACTTATTCTTTTATTCATCTATTTTCATATACATCTCATATAGATTTTTGAAAATGCAGGTTTTTACAGTAATCCTGCCCATGTCTTGATCTGTTTACAATTTATTTGCAAATGCTAAATAGACCATTTCCATTCCTTTCCCAAGGGTTTGTTAACTTGATTTCTTATTCTTCTGGTAAATTTTGCCATTTCTGCATACTCCATCAGTTTCTGTAACCATTCATGATAGTTGCCTTTCAAGGCACCACACATTTAACTGAAATCACATATATTTGAAACACCATGGAAAAGCTTGCAAACGCCCCGTTCTGTCCTGCGCCACCCCTTATTGTTACTTTTTTTGTGATGTTTTCAGATCGTTTCTGGGTTTGGCATGATGCCTGTGTGTGCAGTTGCGTATCAGACGTGCCTAAAATGGTCTCTGCCTGTTTGCAATATTGTGCACATTTTAACAGTAAACTGAATGCAGTCGATTCATAAGACCCTGATCGGGTTGCCTTCATTTGCACACAGAGCTCTATTTCTGTGGAAGCTCAGAGCCTCATATCAGGACTGCAAAACTCTAGAGCATACGGTGGGTCTCGATCTATGAAAGTATACCTACCTCCATCAATGGATTGCCTCTCGCTCAATGAAAAACCATTGTTTTCAGCAGAAGTTAGACAACGCCTTGAAGAGCAATCTGTTATGATCAAAAGGGTAGCTCTTTGCCGAGACTGAGACAAATCCATTGCTACTAACCTCCAAGCTCTATCAGGCAGCTCATGACTAATTGAAAGCTCCTTTTGATTCATGTTTCGGTGTTGCCAGCCTAGTGAGCATTTTCTGCAAAGACTCATTCTATGAGCTGACAATTCAGACCAAAGACTAATGTGTCTTCTTCCCTGCCTGTGAGTGTCTCTACGGTGTGGGTTTGCCTCCCCCCCCACCCGACTTCATATTCCCAGTGGGCTCAGGTAAGGAATTTGCAGCATTTCATTTCTTATAATAGCTGGCACAATGTATTTCTGTCTCTTAAATAGCAATCCATCATACTCATCAAGCTCCTCTCTTGAAATACTATACTGTAATCTTGCGTAGCGCTGCCTCTCTCCCATCAACAAGCCATCTGAGGTTCATCTATGCTCCTAACCTTTATCTGAGACACTTGTCTATTAATGCCTTTTTTGAGGTAAGCAACCTCTCTGGCTACAACATCAATTAATGTCCATTTAGAACATTACCCACCCTCTCGAGTTTACTTTTGGTTTGCACCCACATCACTCTCCCACTTCCCTCAATGCACACATTTCCCTCAATATGCCACACTTGTTTCTTATGCTCCCATTTTGATTCCTTAGAGGATTTCTAGAACTCAGGAGGAGAAACTCAAGAGCTAAGGGATGGTACTTATTGAGGGAGGAAGCCTGGAAGAGTAGGGATGGAGATTAGTGGGTAATGTGTAGAACTTTGTAAACAAGAAGATGGAGCCTGGCTCAGCGCTAGAGCCTGATAAGACATGGGAGCCCAGCTAATAGCAAATAAATAAGTAAATTTCTCAAGCCAGCCATAAAACTGATCGGACCCGCCTTTGAATTGTCTCCTACTCACGAGGAGCGGCTGGTGTCATGCAGCAGCACTGCAGAACTGCCCTCCCAACTTTGTCATCACTGCCACTAATCTGGATGATGTGGGTGCCTGGCAGGACAATGATAAGGTTGGGGGAGGTGGTCATCCGTGTATCAGTGCATGTCAAGCATCACAGCTGCCCTGCCCAGCCTCTGCACTATCCTTTTAAGTGGCAATGATGCCTGTGTCGAGAGAATGGCTCCGTATCACTGCTCCACTGTACCATAATAATAATATTTTATTTTTATTTTTATTTGCATGATGCCCCTCTGACTGGGTGGCTCCCAGCAGAATATTAAAAACACAATAAAACTTCAAAAATTAAAAACTTCCCTAAACAGGGCTGCATTCAGATGTCTTCTAAAATTCAGATAGCTGTTTATTTCCTTGACATCTGATGGGAGAAAGTTCCACAGGGAAGGCACGACTGCCAAGAAGGACCTCTGCCTGGTTCCCTGTAACCTCACTTCTCACAATGTGGGAACTGCCAGAAGGCCCTTGGAGCTGGACCTCAGTGTCCAGCCTGTGCGATGGGGCTTTGAGATGCTCCTTCAGGTATGCTCCTGCTCCCAAGAGATCTCTTGCTTTCTACTGGAGACCCTGAGAAGACAGCTAAGAACTCTGAAATCTGGCACCCTCCCTATGTATAATCTTACCACTTAAGTAAGATTTGAGTTCTAATAAATATTTATATCATTTCATGGTAGCCAAGTTTTCTGCCCCAAGTACTGGTACAGATTCTTAGGATGAAAACTCTAGATCCAGCTGTTTTTTGGACTACAACTCCCATCATCCCTAGCTAGCAAGACTGGAAGTCAGGGATGATGGGAATTGTAGTCTGAAAAAAAAGTTGGAGACCCAAGTTTGGGAACCCCTACCGTAGATCAAGAATAGGGAACTTGTGGCCCTTTGTATGTTGTTGGACTACAACTCCCATCCTTCCTGATCATTGGCGGTTCTTGCCACAGCTAATGGGAATTGTAATCCAACAGCATCTCAAGGAATGCAGGGTCTGCATTCATGCTTTAGACCATAGACTTGGAGTCTCACAACCATCAAGTGACAGAAATGAAGAAAGGTGAGCGTGACACAAAAGAACAGTGGGGGGGGGGGAATACAAGGTGAACATAAGGAAGGGAATCTGGGTCAATAATTGTTATCACACAGTGGAAACTGAAGGAGGTACTTCCTATTAATGGGGGTGTGCAGATGTCATCGCTCAGTCTTTATTTCACAGATGGCTTCTCCTCTTCAGTTTCTGTCAGAGAGTTTGCTGAGGCACAGAACAGTGTTCAGGAGAATTCACTTTGAATGGTTGGGGGACCATGGAAGAAGCAAACCCTGCACATTGTTGAACTTGACTTGACAGATGATGTGTGGTCTCTTCCCATTATGATCAAATTATAGCTCTATTATAGATAACTCAAATGTAGGTATCTATAACTCTCTCAGATAACGATGGCACAGACAGGCTTCAGGGAAAGGTCTAGCATAATTGTATCTAATACAAGTTATAAATAGCTTCAGTCTCCCAACTGTGCCTCAAATATTGGGACTGGCTCCAAGTACAATATTGTACCCTTTCTCCTAATCAGAAAAAGTAAGACAAAGCACATTAACTTCTTGTTTATATAGTACATTGTCAAACAGGCAAATTCTATCCTTCAACTGTTGTACAGAAGAGGAGATTTTGGCAGGTGTGGGTGATCAGTTTTAGACTTGCTGAACCCACTAACTTCTACAGGGGTGGAGGGCCTATTGTGATGGCCTTCCCCAAGAGATAAACGGATCCAAGTGGCTTTCTTGTGGCTCTTGGGAATTATCCCATCATTTTTGGAGGTAGTCCTGCTAAAGCCCTGATGGACCTCTGGAATGGGGTAATGACCCCAGCAGTTAACATGATGCTCTTGGATATCCTCCTTCCATTAGCAGAGCAAAACTGGTTCTCTTGTGGTGTAAGGAGCTAATGAAGCAAGAGGGCTGATCACTACAATGATGATTGGAGAAGACTTGTGTTAACTCTGATCCAGCATGGGCCAGAGCTCACCTTTTAGTGCCTACTGTGTGGTAGTGATCACGGGAAAGAAATCTTCCTTTTCTGTCACCTTTGTGTCCTCCTCAGAGTTGTCTAATGGAGACTTTACAGGGAGTCAGTTGACCATTATATGCTGGGCCCCAAGTAGGAAGAGGGGGAGCTTTTGGTAGCCTTTTGTGACTAGTTTGCTAGGCAATTTGCAGGTGAAGTTGCTCACATCTATTCTGACTTGCACAATGCAATTAAGGCAGGTCTAATAAATGATGATGATGATTATGATGCTTATTATTATTATTATTATTATTATTATTGAATTTATATACCACCCTATACCAGGAGGTGTCAGGGCAGTTCACAGAATAAAATCAAAATGTAAAGCCACAAAATACATAATCAAAATAAAAACAACAACCCAATAACCCCCACCCACAAAAAAACACATTTTAAAAAGGCATAGGATCCTCACAACATTTAAAGTAAGACAATTAACAAACCTGGACAGCAGCCACTCGTTGGAAAGACCATGATCTCAGAAATGTCTGCAGCAATATTTATTGGCAACCAAATGGGCCTGGTGCCTTTCTGATACAAAGACAAAAATAGCTTTGAAATAAGAGTGGGAGGGGAAAAGATTAGCTTTGGTTATAGAGCAGATGTAATACTAATGTTTCCTCTTCCACAAGGGAAAGGCCTGTATCTAGTGTTGCAAATGAGTCATTCAAAACTTCCTTATATAGTTTTCTGAGATACTTTGTAATTTGTGCAGCCTGAGGATATGCAGAGAGACCTTGGAGAACTAAGAACAACCATTTGTCTTCTTGATTCTTGCCTTTCTTGGCTTTTACAGATTGCCAAAGGTTGACTGGGTGATGGGAATGTTTAACACTGCCATGTGTGAAGAATTAGCTCCGGCAAGACTAAAAGGACCATTAGTTGGACCATTGGTAGGGCGGGGGGGGGGGCATTCCTTGGTCCCACCACAATAAAGAATTTTAAACTTTATCAGTTGCAGATATTCCATGCTTCGGTAAGCTGTTTGCATGTGTGGAGTCTTCTACATATTTCTGGACAAGACAGGTTATCTCAATCCATTCCAGTTCAGATCGAGGGCAGTTTTGGTCTGGAGGCAGCCCATTACGGATTTTTTGTTAACAGCCCAGCTCTAATATTTATGTCTACTCAGAAATATTCTGCACTCAGGTCAAAATGGGTTATGGCCAACTAAATGTGCATAATGTGGCACACCACCCAAATCTCTGAGTGGGGTGATATTCCAGGAATTCCAGGCAACTTTGCAGTTCCCAATTGAGACTATGGTGTCTTTATGGTATATGGTTGATTTAAACATATATGCAACCTGAGCCTATGGTGGAGGGGTTCACACCATTAACACCCAAAGAGGTCCTTGCTTCTTGCATAGCCTTGGATTCCAGCATAATTCAGTCCCTCTGCCTTTCCAGGCTGCTGCCTTGCTTTTAGTTTCTAGAATCTCCTCTTTGTCTTTCCAACCACCAGTGCATTGAATGAAGGGGCCCATCCATTTGCAATCTAGTAGAGAGCTACCGGTAGTCTTCTCGTTTCCTAAATTTGCTACCTAGGATAGTGCCTAGGTGTTATGTCCTCAGTTGCTTGATTTTGTGCTGCCATGATGGATACTCGCCAAAGAATAGTTTGCGTGACAAACTAGGCCCCAAATGCAAGGCCTGTGCTCCTTCACACTCCTGCCCTTACAGTCGCTTTTAACCATTTGTCCTTGTTTCTATCTTTTTATTATGCAGGGTATAATCGTGTGTGTATATATATATATATATATATATATATATATATATATATATATAATTTTTGCATAAATGAACGAATTAAAAACATAAACATATAATCCCCTTTGACTCCCCTCCCCTCCATTGTGGATCTTAATAGAATGATTTTCCCCTCTGCATCTCTTTCATAACTCTATTCTTATAAGTCATTCCACAGTTCAATTTTTTACTACAAGTCTTCTGTCAATCCTACCAATGTATGTCATTGTTTACAATAGTTTTTCAAATAAATCATAAACTTTCTCTGTTCTTTATTAAAGAGCTCCTCTTTAACAGCTAGTTTTTATCCTTTACCTGCTTTTAGTCTCGTGTGTTCAGTTTATCCATATGTTTTATCTTATGCTGGTCCGTGACCGAAATAAAGTTTGGTACTGATAATGATACTATAGGCTATCACTTCACCAGGCAATTCCAGGAATTTGAATCCCTGCTGGAATTTTAACGCTTGCGGGATCCAGGAATCAGAAAGGTCTCGGCATACAGTCTTACCTCCTCAACCGATAACACTATCACAGCCTTAACAGAGCAACCCAACCTCCCTTTGCGTTGGGTGTGGGAAGAAGTTGGAATAGAAGGCAATGCCCCTCTAAATACTGAAACCCTTTTACACTGCATTTGAAGAAATACCACATCTTCAAGCTCAATGTCTTTTGGCCTGACTGGGCAATAGTGATATTTAGACCGCAATTGACTTCCCTCGGAGTGAGGTCCATTAAACCCAATGGGGCTTAGTTTTGAGTAGACATCGCTAGGATTGTGCCGTTAATAAAACCACGCTACTTAATAAAAGGCAAATGCAACTCTACCCAGTTCATCATACAAATGAAGGAGGTAGACTGCATTATAAGAAGATTAAAACCCCAGTTCAAAGGGAATGGGGAATGATGAAAGAGAGATAAATGGTGCAATAATAAAGCTATAAAATAGGGGGCTAATAGCAGATAATCATGACATAAAAGGTTTCCAGACGACGCCTTTGGAAGTCTATGGCTGTAAAGGTAGCAAGCAGGCTCTAGTTAAAGCTGCAGGTGGAAACAATAAATTTATGATTATTATAGCAATTATGCCCTCCTGTATAGCAGAAGGAACCCTTTTTACCAGTCTTATGAATCAACCGTCACTTGCAGATAAAGCTGTCCCACAAAGAACCTTTATTGCAAAAATCTGTGTGTGTCTTGGGCATCTCCAATCTAGTTTTACTAGCTTTTCTCCCTCGTTCTGTTTTTATATCTGTTTCTGCTACAACTGTGATTTTCAAAGTGAGGCAGCCTCTCTAATGATGCGGACAGGGAAGAAGGCCCCTATCCTGTGTGGCACTCAGTCACTACCCTGAAAGATACCCCAGATTCCGTCCTTGTATTCCTTTCTTCTGACATCAAAGTGCCTTTTATTCAGGAAGAAGCATTTTTCTTCTCGCTGTTTTTAGTGTGTTGCTATGTGGCTGAGTTGAGCTTTAAATGGATATTTTATTGTTGCTGGTTGTAAATGACAGCTGGTTTAAAGTTTTGTTTTGTTTGCTTTCTGTTTTATGGTTTGCATGAAATATGGGGAGCCGCTTTGGTTCTGAGACAGAACCATCTGAGACAGAACCATCAGTCCATCTAACCCAATATTGTCTACTCTGATTGGAAGCAACTGCCCAGGGTTCTCTGGAGCTGCCAGGAGACTGAATGGGGAAAGTCAGACAGACAGAGAGCACTTTAGATGTTGTTTTTAGCATTAATCACTCTCAAACCCATTCTGACTCATATATGCTCATGTGATCTGAACTGGCAGTGACTGACCAGGAACGAGACGTTGATATCATGGTAGATAGCTCCATGAAGATGTCAACCCCGCTGTGGAAAAGGCAAATTCTATGCTAGGGATCATTCAGAAAGGATCTGAAAATAAAAATTGCAGATGCACAAGGCCGTTATAGAAATCCATGCTGTAAAGGTAAAGGACCCCATGACGGTTAAGCCCAGTCAAAGGTGACTATGGGGTTGCAGTGCTCATCTCGCTGTAGCTGGATTCTTTTCTCTGGAAGTCCTGCAGCACTATGGGGGCCGGGCGAAGAGGAGGACCGCCGTTAGGGCAAAGCTCTTTCAGAGTCTTAGCAGATATTGTGGAGTAGGATGAGCCGGTATCCAACTCCATAGTGCACGGGGTTCCCTCTATCTTGAGTTGTACCTTAAGCTTATTGGACCCCAGGGACGGAAGTTGAAGTACCCTGGCTGGAGAGGTAGACTGTAACTCCTTCTCTATGTAGGCCTCATGGACACGTTGCTTGGAGGTCTTGGAGTGGCAGACTTGACCAATGTGCCCAGTCTTCCCACAGCAGTGACTTGTGGCGTCCCGAAACCTGCATGTCCAATGCTCATGGTTTTCTCCACAGCTGGCGCAGGTTCCTCGAGGTGCATCAGATGACCACTGGTTTGACGATGTGCTCGTAGCTTGGGAGCAGTGGTGTCGGTCAGATCGGGTCCAAAGCTCAGTGGACATCCTCATTGTGGGAATCTACAGAAGACGACCAGTCTCGCAGGATGCAGTGAGTTCTCCTTTCAGTACGTGGTCTGTGGGCTGCCTCGTGGGCGTTATCCTTCTCAAAGACCATGGCCATATTCATTCCTTCCATCATTGTGATGTCGTCTTTTGCCAGCAGCTTGCAGCGGAGATGGCTGTCTCGCATGCCACTGATGAACCTTTCGAGAAGTCGTTCCTTGATGTCAGCAAATTGGCAATACATTGCAATAGCCCAAAGCACTGTGATGTATTCACTCGCTGACTCTTCCCCTCATTTTTTTTTTAATTTTCCAAATTTATAACAAACATATCAACAAATATCAAAAAACAAACAAACAAACAAACATACATAGATCCTAACTGTAATAATTCCACTTTTGTTAACATTGTTAGGTGACTTCCTTGAATGCCCTGGCTGAGTTTCCATGTACCGTATTTTTCGCTCTATAAGACGCACCAGACCACAAGACGCACCTAGTTTTTGGATGAAGAAATCAGGAAAAAAATATTCTGAATCTCAGAAGCCAGAACAGCAAAAGGGATCGCTGTGCAGTGAAAGCAGCAATCCCTCTTGCTGTTCTGGCTTCTGAGATAGCTGTGCAGCCTGCATTCGCTCCATAAGACGCACACACATTCCCCCTTACTTTTTAGAAGGGAAAAAGTGAGTCTTATAGAGCAAAAAATACGGTATATCATTGTAACAGTTTTCCAAAACTATTTTCACATAAAATTTACTTAGTCAATTAACATCTTTCTTTCTTTTCATTTTAATTTTAAACATATTATTCTATAACATCCCATATTTAAATCCTAGGCCAATCTAGTACTTGCAAGTAGTTCTATTTAAGTTATCTTAGCATATTGAGCTAAATAGTCTTTAAATTTATTCCATTCCTCCTGGTGCTCCTCCTCCTTCTGGTCGCAGACTCTTCCGGTCAGGTCGGCTAGCTCCCAAAAGTCCATCATCTTCATCACTGACTCTTGTGCTTGTTGCTCTCTGTGTGCAAAGTCGTAGCGGTGGTGGTCCTTAGTTGGCTGAGGTGCAAGGTGTCTTGTCATAGCCTATGTCAGCTCATCGAAAGTGCATGCCTCTATGTCCCTGGGTGCCATCAGACCTTCCAGTAGAGTGATGGCGGAACTTCCCAGCACTGTCAGGAGCACATCCACCTTGTCTGCCTCCCTACTGAAGCCTTGTAGTAGGACGTAGCTCCTTATTCGGTGGAGCCACTGCGGCCATTCTGCAGGATGACTCATATCAAAGTCCGGTGGTGTCCGACTATGACTGGTAGCCATCCTCAGACCTGGAGCAGTCACTTGTGCAATTGTGGGTGGTTGCGAAGATGCGGCAGGCGAGGTCTCGTTTCCGGGACTATTTGCTGAGTCCAGCGTGGCTGTGAGGTCGCGCTTACTGTGAGGCAGCAGGTGGCAGTGCTGTAGTGCAGTCGTGGGCCTCTGGCACCTGGCGGGAGCTCATGTATCCCATCCTCATTGCCAATGTTGAATATTCGCAAAAAGTCAGAAGCCCAAGGCAGTATAAGTTCCTCAACTAAGTTTATTCAACATTTGTCAGTGACAACAGCTCACTCAAAGGAACACAAGGACCAAAACAGACTGGACAACACAATAATAATCCCGAGCATGAACTGACCGTTGACAGTTGGAAGTGCATGCGCTTACTTGCCATTAGAACATTCATCTACCAATGCTTATACAATTGGTTAGAATGCGCCTTGTAACATGAAATGTGTTAAACCCAATACATAGCAGTTAGTATCTCAGAGAAGGTTTGGGAACCTTCAAGCTTCCAAGAGGTCCAAAGTTTAACCTTAGAGGATGCTGAGCCATGGTTAAATGCCATGAAGGCTGCACTTGATTCCTTAGAGAGGAACAAGACATGGGAATTAGTTGCAGGCCACAAAAGGTTTACAAAGTTCAGTTATTGCAAAAGTTTTTCAGTGTTAATTTTATGCATTTTTTAAAATCACTGTGGTATTTAACAATAATATCTTATGTCCTTTAGAGGAGAAATTGTGAGTTGTAGAATTTTAAATACCCGTCATCATCCTTGGTTTCACTCAATTTTGTTTATAACACTTTTACATTTTCTTCTAGTTGTGAGGGTGGGGGATGGGGAGGGGCCTCACAAGTGGAGTAGCCTAGGGCCTCTCTTCATCTAAATCTGGCCATGGCCACAACCATTTTCTGTCTCACATAGATTCCTTTCCTTAGTTCCCCTTAATGGTTCATCACCCGGGTTGTCTCCACATGAGGAGGCTAGCCTGTCTATTCCAAGAATTTGAAGCCTTGATTATTAGTATTTTTTAAACAACAACAACAACAATTAATTGTATTGGTTTTTAAACAAATACAATAACCATTAACCACTAGATCCAGAGATTAGAAAGGTCTCAGCATATATCTTAACACCCCAAACTCATTCATTCATATATATGGCTCTTTTGAGCCTTTGGCACTTGTCAGGGACATGTCTGTGAAATTATTTCAAGCCCTGCAGTTATGGATCATTTCACTCTTAGCGCAAAAACAGTGTGCCTCTTCACTCGCTTGCCAATAACTTGCTTCACGGTACGAATTGTGTGCCTCGGAAAAATTCAGCACGAACCCTTTCTCCTACCCCGTACTGTGTTGTTGTGACTTGGTCTGCCTGGGAATGAGAGAAGAAATGACCCAAGACAATCAGTCCCATTGTGTTGAGATCAAAGGCAGCGAGAAGCACCCGAAAAAATAGCAGCATGAAGGGAAATAATTGCTTGCATTCCCAGGAAGATACTGCAGGTGGTGATAGCATAATGGGATCTGTCCCATATACAATAAAAACCCATACGCATGTTGCACGGTGCTGTGTTTTTGATGCTGTAAAATAGGCTTGCCATACATCAGGAGAATTCCTGACATTTCCTGGTTTTCGGGTGTAAGAATGGTGTCAGGGAAATTTTGCCGAAATGGCAAAATGTCAGGGAAAACGCAGATGTATGGCAACACGATGGAAAAAGCAGCAGAAACAGCTGCAAAAGCTTAAAAATACTATTTTGGGGGAGGGAGGTTTAGGGTCTTCCTAAAAAAGCTTTGCTGGTGTCAGGAATGTTACTTTTTAAAATATGGCAATGCTATATAAGACCTTGCTGTGATAGATCAAATTGACACCCGTCAGTCCAGAATTCAACAGCAACCAGCTAGATGCTTCTGAAAGCAAAGAAGCAGGCTATGAAGTTGTTCATCTGTTGTTTGTCCTCAGCATTCGGTACAGTGGTACCTTGGGTTACAGACACTTCAGGTTACAGACGCTTCAGGTTACAGACTCTGCTAACCCAGAAATAGTACCTCGGGTTAAGAACTTTGCTTCAGGATGAGAACAGAAATCGTGCAGCGGTGGCGTGGCAGCAGCGGGAGGCCCCATTAGCTAAAGTGATACCTCAGGTTAAGAACAGTTTCAGGTTAAGAATGGACCTCCAGAATGAATTAAGTTCTTAACCCGAGGTACCACTGTAACTGGAATATACTGCCTCTTCATCATAGGCACTAACCCCTAGGGCCCCTCATTTTGGGGCTTTTTTTTGTCAGGGGGCCAGGCTCCCCATTGTTCAGGGCAAACACAGAGCCAGGTGCACAGTGACTTCAGGATGGTGTGCAAGAAGATCACATCAGGCTCCCTCCACATTTTTTAGAAGTTGGCACCTCTGCTCCCCATATGGAGGTTTTATTTGGCTTAGCTATCATAGCTAATTGATCTTGGTAGGCAAATTTTCAGAGGAAATGTCTATCAAAAAGTCATCTAAGGTAACTGGCACCGCCACATCTTGTGGCACTGAAAGCCACACATAGACTTTGCAAGATTCTGAAGATGGCGACATCATGCATTTTCTTTTGGCTGTCCGTAGGGTTTATTGTCAAATTTGTGCTTCTTGCATTCGATGGCATATGGTAATAAGGTCTTAAGACTTAAGGTCTAAAGTTGGCTTTTATAAAGTGTTGTTCAGATACACCAAACTATTGTAAAACCATTCAGTTGAAAGATAGAGGAGAAATGGAAGCAAGGAGAATGCTGTTTTTCTGCAACCTGGACATAAGACAGCTGGGGATAATACCATTAGTCTTAATAACTCCATGTTATTAATAAGGCCATCTGTCTATTAAAAGGCAGCAGTTCAGGGAATGTCCCTCAAAGAAACCAGGCTGGCACATCCAACCCCCCTGTGGTGATAGCTGTGAAATGTACATTGTAAAACAAAAGATTAAAGGCAATGCAAAATGTAATATCTTTCCTGGTAATCTTGCCATTCCTGTGGAGAAAATTAGCATTCTCTTTTTTGGGGTGTCAAACTTCAATCATAAAGTTGATAGTTAACGCTGCAGGTGAACTCCCGATTTAGCATCCTTGTAACTAGAAGGTCTAATGGCTTTTTCAGATAATTCGGGATATGATCAAACCTTTTCTGTAGGAAGGGAGAGGTGGGGAGGAGGGGAAGGCCTGGAAAAGCAAGTCAGGAAGATTGGAAGCAGCTGATAAAAGGTGGTTCCTTTGCTTTCATGAGTAACACACTATCATTTCTGCAAATTGGCTACTTCTTCTTGGACCTGCTCAATCACTTCCCATATTGAAAAATGCAAGACAGTGAATGAGCAAAACTTTGAGAGTCAATTAATCTTATATCAAATGAATAGTGCTTTGATATATAAATCAGCATATGCACATTTTATGCAAATCCCTGCTCACTCTCATTCCCTTTGTGTTAAGTGGTCACCCTGTATGTTAGGTATATTAGAACATTTGCTCCATCCCTATGTGGGAACACTGAAACATACAATCCACCCCCCTGAAGTGCCAGTACATGATGTGTGGATTCTGTGGACAGGTTCCTAAACCAGAGCAACACATTGTATGGCATTATTTCCTACTAGTGATACTAGTATTCATTTCCTTCTTTGCTCTAAAGCAAGTTGTTAGATCCAGCCTCTTTTGCGGGGAGATGGAGGCAGTTGTAGAGAAAGGGGCTTCGTTTCCTGGGGCGGCGGGGATGTGGTATGTTGCACATGTGGCATGTCACACGTGGGGGCATGGCATGTTGCACGTGCGAGCATTCCAATGGGGAAGCACCTGGCACCCGGGGTGGCCATCCCTTCCTCTGCCACTGGGTGGAAGAGGTGAATGTGTTTCAGAAATAACGGGAACTTAAGTTTTCACAGAGGGACGCAGGTGGCACTGTGGGTTAAACCACAGAGCCTAGTGCTTGCTGATCAGAAGGTCGGTGGTTCGAATCCCCATGACGGGGTGAGCTCCCATTGCTCGGTCCCTGCTCCTGCCAACCTAGCAGTTCGAAAGCACTTCAGAGTGCAAGTAGATAAATAGGTACTGCTCCAGCGGCAAGGTAAACGGTGTTTCTCTGTGTTGCTCTGGTTTGCCAGAAGTGGCTTAGTCATGCTGGCCACATGACCTGGAAGCTGTACGCCGGCTCCCTCGGCCAATAAAGTGAGATGAGCGCCGCAACCCCAGAGTTGGCCACGACTGGACCTGATGGTCAGGGGTCCTCCCCCCAAAAAAAATTTTTCACAGAGAGTCTTTCATTGCCCCTGCCCACTGGCTCTGGGATTGAGAGTGAGACTGGAATCACAAAGTTTATAAAAAGGACTGAGCTGATGCCATCTGTGCCCCAACTCAGATATATATATAGAAAGGGGGGGGGGGGAGATATATTCAATCTCCTGGAAAGTTAGATTTCATACAATTTCCAGGCTTCTTTCCAAGCCTAGCACTATGCTTTCTCTGACACCTTCAATCAGAGTTAAAGGAAATGAGGAAAAGCTGCAGGATTAGACCATAAAAGGGTTTAGATAAGCTTCAAATTTAATCAGGCACACTTTGGAGTGCTTATCAGAACTGCACCTCTGAAGTGTTTGAGGTTGACCCATCACTAACATGGGAGAAATGCGATAGAGGAAGCCATCTGTCAGTAATGCAATATGACCTTCCATTGTCACCTTAATGCTTAGTGTAGCTTCCTGCCCCCCCCCTTTCAGTAGTACGTTTACTGTAAGTGCAGTGCACCCACACAAAATGAGACCGTTCAGTTTATTAGCCAGCGGTTGGAATTTGTAGTGTGTGGATAGGAGTAATTATTTTGAAACCGAGCTGCCTCTTGAATCGGTGCTGGTTTATTTTATAATGTTCCAACGCTGGCTGTAAGCTCTACTGTTTTGTGCCAGAGCAGAAGGGCTGGGATGAGTGTTTCTTTTAACTTCTGGGCTGGGTTGCTGTTCACTTCATTAAATACAAG